TCATATATTTATCATGCATAATGTTTTGAAATATGTATGCATTGTGGAATGGCTAATTGAGCTAATTAAAATATGCATTACCTCACAGACTTGTTTTTTTGTAGTGAGAACACTTAAAATCTAATCGCCAATAAATTTTTTAATACATCTTAGATTCAACTTGTTATTTAGATTCAATTTAGATTCGCTTGTTTATTTAGGATCCTTCCATCTATGCTACTAAATGTGATCAGCCTATAAATTTCCTTTCTAGTATTGTCTTTAAACCAATTTCTCTACAAAAGTTATCTCTCTCATAAAATAAGGTGAACAGCTTTCCAACTCTCTCTAGAACACTTCTACAAACTAGAGATTACCTTTTCTCCAAACATTTAGTAAACCTTACCTTTAAAAACATTTGAATCTGGAATTTGGTGGGGAAAAGGAGGTTAGGGAGGCAGATTTTGATTACTTCTTTGATTTCTTTAATAACCACTGATCTAGTCAAGAATTCTATTTTTGTCTTGAATCGATTTTGGTAATTTATATTTCACTGGAAATTTGTCTACTTCATCTACATTTTCAAATGTACTGCCATGAAGTTATTCATGTTTTCTAATAATGTTTTTAATCTTAGTTTTTTTCTGTGTTAATATTCCATTTTTTTCAATTCCAAATATTATTTGTGCTCTCTGTCTCTCTCTCTCTGATCAATATTAACAAAGGTTTCTCAATGCTGTCTTTTTCACTGAACCAGATTTTGGTATTGTTGATTCTCTGTATTGTTCCTTTATTTTCAATGTCATTATTTTACTCTATTATTTTTCCTCTACTTTCTTTGGTCACTCAGTTGTTATTTTTCTAACTTCTTAAGTAAAATGCTTTGCTTACTGATTTTTAATGTTTCTTATATTCTAATAAATGCATTAAACTAGAATTAAATTTTAGTTGTATCCCACAGATTCTGACACACAATGATACTATTGCCACTTAAACATTTCTTAATTTCTATTATATCTTCTGTAACCAAAAGATGATTTTAAAGTAAGCTCTTGTTTTCAAAATTATAGAGGATTTTCAGTTATATTTTTGTTACTATTTCCTAATTTTATTTTGTTGTGGTCACAGACCAAAGGTTGCATGCTACAGATTCTTTGATATTTGTTGAGACTTCCATTATGGCCCAACATAAGGTCAGTATTTTTAAATGTTCCATGTAAGCATGAAGAGAATGTATCTTCTTTATTTCCTGAAGATTATTTTTTTTAATTTTCTACTATGATCATGTATTATATTTGTAATCTGAAAAAAAATACTAAATTTAAAAAGCTAATTAGATAATGATTGTTAAAAGCTAATAAATCTTCAAAACAAAGAGATAATCAATATTATTGAGCACTTACTACATACCAATTTACTATGTGCTAAGCACTGTAATATTTATATTTATTATCTTATTTAATTCTCATAACACCCTAAGGAAAAATACAATTATCATCCCCATTTTGCAGATGAAAAAAGAGACAAAAAAAATCAAGTAACTTGTCAAGTCACATAGTTAATAAATAGTGAAGTCTGTGTTCTAAAATACTATGCCATACAATATCAACATTGATGTATTTATATGTACCCACACATATGTCCATATGTACATAAATAATATATGTAAAGTATGAAGCAGGCACATCAAATTTATCCAGCCTAAAAGATTGTACATGGCATCTTTAGGTATTGATAAGTAATACTAATGAGAGAAAAAAGAAAAATACCTCTGGTGGTTTTTTCATTCAGATTCACACCATATTTTGCCAAAGCTCTAATCACATCACTTTGCCCAGCCATGCAAGCTGCATATAACAAATTTCTCCCAACGATGTCTTCTTCCAAGAGTAGCTGCATGGCCTGTTGGTGGTGAGGACTCTCAGGGTCCTCGAAAATCTTCCGCAAACCTTCCACGTCTCCTGTGACAGCAGGTTGTAAGAGAGGGTTCGTGGCCACTGTTTTCTCTGGTTCTTGGGCTGCTTCTTCTTCATCTTCTTCTTCTTCTTGCTGTGAGAAAAATATTGATTTTTCTGAACTCACTGACTCTGGGGGTCCTTCTGACTCCATTAACTCCAAAAATACCTAAGATTTAAAAAAAAAAAAGAAATAAAAATCTACTCAAACAAATCAGTATTTATTTATTTGCTCAGGCAATTGACAATATAGATGAAATGAACACACTTAACTACTTGAAAACAACTGTAAAATACTTCAGTCAATCAATAAAGTTATTATCGTGTATGCATAAATACACTGAGTATACACTAAAATGCAAAGGGTGTGATATAAATAGTAAATTCAATAGGAACAGGAGAAGAAAGAGATTGATGTAAGCTAAATTCATTAGGAAAAGATTGAAAGAGTGTTAAAGTGACCCACCTGCCTAAACAAGTATCCCTGCAGGGGAGAAGTGAGAAATACAATTAGATCATTGGAGCCGGGTTATGAGGACTTCAAAAATCAGGCACTGACATTTAGACAGAATTCATTTACTCAGTAATACTTACCAAAAGCTTATTAATATACTAAGGGCTGTGTAGGTACTATGTAAATTATAAAAAAGAATCAGATTTACTTCCTGCCCTCAACAACTTACTATTTCAAGGGAGAAAATATGACATACACAAAGTAAGTGTAATAAAAGGTGACAAGTGGTTAAGTATCATAATAAATGAAATGCTATGGGAGTTTAGAAGGGACAAGATTAATTTCAGGTAGAATTAATCAAGGAAGTCTTAATAGTGCTCACTATGGCAGAACACATATTAAATTGGAAGAGAAGAGTACCATAGTTCTCTCATATGTACAGTAACTCTTGTGGCATCACTGCTCACAACAGCGAAAAACCTGGAAGTAAAAAATAACATCTAGGAACAGGATCATAAACTGTGGTGTATTTATACAAAATGGTATACAGCAGTTAAAAGGAATAAATTACAGTGGTATACTATGCAGCTTCTGATATGGCTCCCAATGCCCATCCCTGCCCCTGGATATTCACACCCATGTGTAATTTCCTCACCTTGAGTGTGGGCTGGACATACTAAATAGCTTCCAATGAAGAGAGTACAGCAACAGTTAGGGGATGTCACTTCCGTAATTCGGTTATGATAGACTGTGGCATTTGTCTTGCTGATATTTTCTCCCTGGCACTTCTCACGTACTGTGAGGGAGAGGGCCACCTTTTGAGAAACTCAGGGTGACCTCTGGCCAAAAGCCAGTAAGAATCTAGGCCCTCAGTCCAATAGCCCACGAGGAATTAATTCTGCCAACAACCACTGAGTGAGTTTGGAAGTGGATCTGTCCCAGTTAAACCTTGAGATGACGGAGGCCTCGGGCAACACTTTGATTATATAGCCTCCTAAGAGGCCCTGAAGGAGAGGACCCAGCTAAGCTGTGCCCAGATTCCTGACCCACAGAAACTGTAAGATAGTGAATGTGTGTTTTTTCTAACTACCAAGTTTGGGAGTAATTTGTTATATAGCAATAAATAACTAAGACATACAACAGTGTAAATGAATCTTAGCAATATAATATTACATGAAAAAAGTAAATCCTAAAAGATTATACATATCAAGATATAGTCTTACCATGTTAAAAGCAATTAAAGTTAAATAGATGTTATAGGAATACAAACAGATATATTATAAAAAATTTAAAGAAGAAAAGCAAGATTGAACACAAGATTCAAGATAATGTTTACCAGGGGGAGGGGGTGGAGGGAGAAAGGAAGATGCAAGAAATGAGATAAAGGGAATTGTATATTTAGTAAAAAATATGGCATTTAAGCTAGGCCATAAAGAATGGGCAAGACTTTGTCATTCAGAAGTCAGAAGGAAGGGAATTCTAGATAGAATAACATAAGAGCAGCAAAGCAAAAGTCGCAAGTATTTTTGGGAATCAGTAAGTTGGACAATTTGGTTAAGTATAGGCCATTCAAAATAAGCAAGAAGTATACTATTAAAGAAAGGCTGAGATTGGATCAATAAAGCTGAACTTGATTCTGCAGGCAACTGGTGGGGGCTAGCCGAAGGTTTTAGTGCTAGAAACTAAGCATGTTTCAAAATTGATCTGACAACCCTGGGTAACATATGTTAGAGGAATAAGAGAATAGAGGCAAAAAAGAAAGACCAATTAAGACAGGTATTGTAAAAGTCTGAGTTAGTGGGAATAAGCACTTTAATTATTCACTCACACAATTCAGTATTTATTGCATTCCTTCCTATATGCCAGGCACTGTGTCAGGTCCTGAGGATTCAACAAGACAGAAAAGATCCCTCCCATCATGAAGCTATATTCCAGTGACTGGGCACAAGTAATAAAAAATAAAACAAATGAGATAATTTTAGATTGTGATAAGTGTTTCAAAGGAAATAAACATGGTGAAGTGCTAGGAAGTAACAGGAAAGTGCAGAGAAAAAAATTGAAATAGGAAAGTCAAGGAGATGACATTGAAATAGTACTGCAGAGAATGACAAACAAAACAGAGGCCTCGGGAAAATGGAACAACATTCTAACGCAGGAATAAAAGGCCAGATGGCAAATATTTTAGGCCTGTGGCCCTACTATGTCTACTGCAACTACTCAACTCTGTAGTTGTAGCATGAAAGGAGTCATAGACAATACACAAATGAATCGGTGTGCTGTGTTTAAAGAAAACGTTATTTACAAAACAGGTGGTGGCCCACAGGCCATAGTTTTCTGACCCTGTTTTTAAGGAACGACAGTCTAAACAGTGCCATAAGAAAACTGTCATTTAGTTCTATGGTGAAGTAAAGAATAGAAATGGGCTAATAGTGGAAAGACAATGGTGATATGCATTTTAAAGTGGTGAAATGCTAAAACCTTCTCTATCTACTATAGCCCTACATTAATCTCTTCCTTCTAGAAACGTGCATAATAGTTGTAAGCTGTTAAAATTCAGAATCCTTTGATTATAAATAATAGAAAAGCCAAACAAGATTGACTCTTTAAAAGCAGGAGATTTTTTTCCCACATAACAAGAAATGTAACGATGGAGCTGGTTCGGCAGCTCAAAAATATATATCCAAGCTCTTTCTATCACTCTACTCTATCGTACTTAGCATGTAAGACTTTCATCTTCATGACTGGTGCCTCATGGTAACAAGATAGCTGTCATAACTCCTGCTATTGTAACAGAGGGAATGGCCTGGAAAAGAGTAAAATGTTTTACAAGCTGTCTTTAACAAAAAAAGAAAAACCACACTCTATTTGGGAATTAAAACATGCATCCCTGCCTGAGGCCAGTAATCAGAAGGGCAAGGGAGTATTCTTTGTTTTTTTTTGTACCGCAGGAAATGGCTCAACAGAACTGTCCGGACAGAGGCCACAAGACTGTCTTTGCCAGAGATGGGGTAGATCAAGACCATCAACTACAACTGAACAACAATAGACCCAAGCTGAAAACTCCCTTTAAAAGCTCTGTATTTCTGCTCATGGACAGGACGATGGTACTTTGAGAGTCTCCATCCTCCTCATTTGCCGGCAAATTAATAAACTTCTCTTTCCTTCTCCTCAAACCACTTGTCCTCGTTCTTCTTTGTTTAGTCCAATTCCTTCATGTTATAGATGCAATATAGTGGAAATTTGTAATCCTTCTATTTGTCTGGCATCTAACTTTCCACATTCCCAACCCCCACACACACCCCTTCCTTAAAGCATCTCTATCTCAGTTTTCGAGAATTTTTCTAATGGAAAATAAAGCTAACTTCCCACTATAGAAGACAGGCAAGATCTTCTTTCTCTCCCTCTCAGCACAAGCCTGGGGGCAGGCACATGATTTAGAGTCAGCCAATCAACTGCTCAATCCCATGATCCTGACTCTTGAACAAGGGATACAAGGACATGAGGCTAGTTGAAGGGCATTGATCACCAGTGACAGAAGCCATGTGCTGATCAAACTTCCTGCTGTGAGAATATGCTGTGGTTTTTGTGGTCAGATCCTCCAGAGTTTCCTTGGCTTGCTCATTTCCAGCTTCCCACTGCTTATGATGGCCTTTAACACAGTACTCAGATGCAGGCTATTAGTTGTCTTCCCCAAAATCTAATCTCTCTTTTTGGAATAGAATCCCATACCCTTTTCTTCTCAGTCTCTCTTATAACACAGTGTAGCCATATTCCAAATAATAGGTAGTAAGATGTAAGCAAATCTGTAGTATGCAACCTCCAGGAAAGTATAATTCTTTCTCACTAGATTGTAAATATGATGGTGGCTGAAGCTTGCACAGCTAATTTAGACCATGAGGTGGATGTTCTGTTCAAACACATACATATTATAAATTATATATATTATTTCTAATACACAGTATATATAGTTTTATGACATTTGGTTTTAATTTTATATATGCAAATATATTTAACTTCTATTAATAGAGTGATCAATTTATTGTTCAGTAGTAATGGATGATTTTATCCCGAATGCACTGTATTTATGGTTATATTTGCATATATACTTTTTTAAACAAAATAATATTTCTCTTTACTACATGTAACATACTGATTTTTTTATTCCATTCTATTTTTTTAAGGCTGGGTGTCACCTACTAAATTGATTTCATGACACACTAAATGGGTTGTAATCCATAGTGTGAAAGAAGATTAGTCTTGAATAACCACTATGGAGACTATACCAGGAAATCAACGAAAAGGAATCTAACAGAAGTTAAACAGCATGTGTTTATAGTTAACGGTTTGAGTGACATATGTATCCAGGTCAGTTCTGGTTACTTCTGTTCTTCTGGTGTCATTTTTAATATCAACCACTTCAAAAGTGTCCATTATTACTAGACAATAATTTGGTCACGCTATTAATAGCAGTTGTGATCTTCTGAAACATTTATGTTAAAGATATCCATATCCAAACCTTGGAGAATGGTTTGGAATGTGTTTGGAATGCCTTTTCTCATTGGCACAGCAGGGACTCAGACATGAAACCTTGAAGATACTGAGAAAATCCTATTTTTGTTTCATAGTTATTCCTGCTACTAGGCCTAAAATAGCTTTATATCTCCATTCCAACTACCCAAATCCTATTTAGGCCAAGCTATAAATCCATGTCCTTC